TCAGAGGCTGATGAAAATAAGGCTCTAAAAACCACTTCAGGTATAACCCCAGCAGAGACACTGGTCTTGCACCAGTGATGAATTTACCACGGCAAGCCTCTTGGGGATGATTTACAAAACTTCACAATGTATTACATAAGACACAGTTTAAAAAACCAGAGGGAAGGAGAGAGAAAGAGAAAGGTTGAGGATTTTAGGTCTGTTACAACTAATGCTGTTGAAAGCAACCAACTGCACTTAAATACTTTTTTTTTTTTTTTACTATAACGTTATAAGTTTATCCTATAATTTCTTCACACGTTTAATTTTAGTAATTTGGGTGGAAAAAACACAAGGGCACACACCCATGCGGGTGCACTGTCTGACCTGGCAAGAATCAAAGACGCATTTGAATCCATAAGAGAAGAAGATTTTACAAGAGAGCTGGTCTCGATCTGCACAGATGTTTTCTAACACAATCCTCCCCCCAGACCCGCAGAAAAGTTGGTGCATTTCTGTTCCTTTCCCATCACTAAACACAAATTCACAGAGCTGCCTTACCATTCCCGCACTCAGAGAGAGAGATGGGACTTTGCTCGGCGCGGACCAAGGTCCACCGCGCACAGCCACACCTATTCCTCCAAGCAACCTGGGTGCAACGCGGCGTCTGCCAGACCCGTGCTGGCTGCTGCCTTTGCTGAGCTCAATGTCGCGGTGAAATCAGTCGCACAGCAAGCCCTGTTTCCTCTCCGTACCGCCGTGACTTATGTAAAATGCAGTTCCTGAATAGGCGCACCGAAATAGAAATTGTTTGCCGCTTAAACGACATCCTGCTCTTGTTTCAGATGTTACAGCCTGGCCAGCTAATACCTCCTGGAAATACCTCTGCTTTACATCTCCCTCTTTTCCTAGGAGCTGCTTGAAGCCCACGCTGCAGCCTTCACAGCCCACTATACCAAAGAATTACTGAAAACACTTGCTAGGGTCAAACTCTCCCATTTCAGTAAAATTCCAACCCAAGAGCTGATCAGCTCATCACTGTGGCAGCCTGTGAGATCCTGATTTACAGCTAACCTGAACTTCCCCTGCTTTGCTAGTGTTCCTTCCACCACATGTGAGTGCAAGCTCAGAGGTGTCTGTTCTCCATCTTGCCCTTTTTACCAAAAGATATTGGAAATAAAGAGTATCAACCCATGTTAAATCTAAAGAAAACATTAGGATTTCCATCCCCTCCACCCCTGTCACCGCCTTGCAAACATCTGTGGGCTACACTCCCCTTCAGAAAGATGTAACAGTGGTTAATTTATATCCATTTCAGAAATGCCTGCTCAGCAACTTCAAGAGCAGCACCAGAGCCGCCTTCATGCTTCTGTGCATAAAGAACAGGTCACAAGAGTCAGCCTTCCCAATCTAATAACTTCAAAACAAACGATTTCACAGATTTCCATCTCTCCAAATTATTCTGGTGGCTTTAAATACACTTCAATTACTCAACACCCTCCATGCAACACACTGGCATATTCAGGCAACTTTTCCTGTTCACTACTCCCCAGTTTTCCCATCATAAACAATTTCATCCAGCTGACTTTGCACATGACTTTCCACAGTCCTGCCTAAAACAAGTCAAGATTGAAAAGAGCGATCTTGCAAAAAACCAAACCAACCCAAAAAACCCTAAACCCCAGAGTCTGGAGTTCTATAGTATTAAAAAGGGATCTGGTTCATTTCCCATGTCCCCCATTGCATCTCTGGCTGGGGCATGCTTTGTCTTTCCCACAACTCACATTCAAGCAGTAGTCATGTGTTAAATCTCACATTTCTTCAAAAATCGGGGTCCCACCTGATGTTGCTGCAGGACTCCAGCATCACCAGCTGCATGCCTTGCACTTCTCAGAGTGGAGATGGGCACCAAAGCATGGCTGCCCTAACCACAGCAGACACACATGCCTTGGGATATTGCCCCAGGAACCTCTGGACTCTAGACATACCTTCAGCTTGAATTTCCTGCCTGAGATTTGACATGCAGATCTGGTTGCCTTCCACAAGTGGAAAGGGCAGGAGGTTTTGAGAGTGGGAGAAGGCCACTCAGGCATAAGAGCTGCAAGGTTCCCGCTTGCTCCTTTCCAGCAGCCATCACACATGCAGCCTGTTGGCGGCATTGGAAGATGCCGCGAGGCACGTCTCTCTCGAAGCAGAGACCTGATCACAAGGAGTGCTGGCTCTGCACTCCCATCACAGGAGTCTCCCAGCCTTTCTGTGCTGGCAGGAGCGGGTCACCTCTTCTCAGCACAGACAACAGGACTTGTGCAGATAACAGAGATGCTGAGCTTTATAAATCATGTGACAGTGTAACAGAGAGAGGAGAGCAGAGAACACACACAAATCACCACAAACCAATCTGCAGTCCAGGAGATGTTTGGTGATAATGTCAAGAAGACATTCCCTCCCAGAATAAAATAATGGAACTAATGCACAGAAGAGAGAAAAGCCAGACTGCATTACAGCATCAAACATAACATATGGCTGGGCATAATTATTACACAAGAGGAAGTACCATTGTACCATGTGCTTGTCTATCATGAAATATGAATAATTATATCTTCCTCCTCCCTCCATTGCTGTTTCTTCCAGCATCTTTCCCTGGAAGCAGAGGGAAATTAAAACCCAGCATACAGGAGTTTACAACATTTGAAGCTTAGATTTGTACTTATCCTTCTGCTACCAGCTGGCAAACGTGGAGAAACCAAAACTGAGGTAAGGGAAAGACAGGATTTTGAAACACTCCTAGCTCTGTTTAGAGGAGTACACCACTTCTCCCTGTACCAAAGGAGTTTTATGTAGAGCAGGTTAAGTTGAAACTAGGATTTGGAGCCTGGAGATGCATAGGAAATTTCAGATGGGGTGCAGAATTAAGATGGTAGATGGGTCAAAATTTAAATCACTGCATACTCTGATGTGGTGAAGAAGATAACAAATCTCATTTCAATTTCCAACTCTGCACTTTTTTAAGTAGTGAGACAGGAAACACACAGAAGAGTGAACAACTTTCATTTTAAAAGAAACAAACTCTCCTAAAAGATTGGCTGATAAATCACAACCTTTTAAAGATGATTCACTGGCAGAAGCAGCATGAGAAATTCCTGATTAGTTTCAGACAAAAAGTACCAGGGGAATCCAAAAGGTGTATCCCCTCTCTGTCCTGGAGCATAATTCTCTCTCCTGCTTGAGCCATACTCTCCCTTCTTATTTTTATTTACTTATGTAATTATTAATTGTGTACTTAAATTGCTGCCATCCAGAGTTTCTTATTTATTTATTATAATTTGTTACATTAATAATAATAAATCTGGCTTGTCCTAGGTCAAACAGTAAGTACCTGCTGTCATCCGTCATCACAGAGAAAAAGATCAAAATTTGGAACCCTTGCGACTTCCAGCTGCATTTGTAATTGCCACAGCGGCTCCATGATGCCAGTATGCTTTTGTCACTGGGCTGCACTCTGACACTGAGCTTCAAAGAGAAACAGGTGCCTCAGGAATGGCAAGAAAAGAGGAATACTCTGCCTCGGGTACAGTGCTGCTCTGCCATAGACTGATTGCTGGCAAGGAACACACAGCACAGTCCCACCAGCTAGCACTGCCTCCTCAGTGAGGAACAAACCTGGCTCTATTCCTGGCGATCCAGTTCCCAACACCTGTCTCTTCTCCTGGTGATCCAATTCCCAACACTGTAACATTCCTGTGTTCTGTTCCCTCTGGCAATAAGCAATGGCAGCAGCACTGTAACATGCAATCTTGGCACACCGCAAGCTCTTTTGTCCTGGCTGCTTTCAGCAATGACAGGTGTTGGGAAGTGCTGTGCTACACACCTTTGTTACCCCAAGCAAGTGCATTCAGCAAATTTCAGAAGCTCTCTGCAGCACTGCCTTTTGAAGGTGGTGTTAATTATGATGAAAACAGTTCAAGAGGCAACAACTCGAGATGCAAAGCAGCATCACCGTTTTCTTTCTTTAGGAGGCACATGAAATAAATTAACCATCAAGGTTTTTCAGGCTAGAAGAAACTACAATAATCATTTAGCCTGATCCTCTGCATAAGAGAGACATAAATTTCAGCAAAGATTCATTCCTTGTGCCAAGAAACTGAAGGCCACGCTAGAGCATTTCACACCAAACAACCTTTAAATCTTCATTGAACATACACGTCCTGGGGATCCTAGTTTCCCTAGTGAGCCCTTTCCTTAGCCAACTACCTTCTCAGCTTTTGGAAGAGGACCAGCCACCATCTTCCCTTTCCAATCTCTTCCCTCTTGTAATTAAAACTCATTTGCCATTGTGTTTCAGAGCAAGCAAACATTAAATATCTATAATCTTTCATACAAGAGGATTGTATGAAGAAACAGTTGCAAGAGATCCAGAATAGCTTTATACAGGATGAAACAGGATAAATTCATTATTTTCCTTTTCTGTGCCAACTTTTAAACCCCTCTAAAATTGCTCCTTCTGCCATCCTCAGAGACAGCTTACTCCAAAACCAGAGTTTCCTCAGTGTCTGGCAGGAATTTACCCTATAAAAACTTTTTTCCCTATTAATTGTTAGAGCCAAGATGAACAAAACAAAATCTACAGACTTGTTTTTTCTTTCTCTGCTTTATAACTAGTTCAAACACACATGCAAGTTTTCTTTAAAGTAAGTAATTAAATTTAAATAGGAAATTCAGACAGACTTCATTTTCCAGCATGAAATCAAATATCTTGCTGCAGCTTGAGATCTAGAATGAAAAAGGATGGTTACACGCCCTTCCTGCAGCTGAGATGAACCCTGATTTGCTAAGCCCCCAGCCCAAAGCCTGTGCCACAAACAGATCTATGCTGGCTTTAGCTCTATCCATCCACCAAAGAAGTCTTTGCAGTTGTGCCACCAGGGAACATCTCGTGCTGAGGCGCTCAGTCTCTGTGAGGTACTATGGAAGCATAACAGAAGGACCAGTGTTCTTCCATTAGGGACAAACACCTGTCCACAGATTGACCGGCACTAGGAGAGTATGGAGTCACCTTTGTGACTCTCCTTCTTCAGGCATTTGGCTGCAACCTGGAAGGAAGGGAGGAGATGCTCCTCCAGCACCAGGTCAGAGCCATGTCATAGCCCAAAGCTGCAAGCAAGGACTGCCCCAGGTAACACAGTCCTGCTATGGTGACTTTACCAGCTGTGCATGCAGCTATCCCTCCCACCGCCCTGGGTCCTGCGTTGACACGCTCAGACAACCCACGCTGGAGACAAAAACAAGAGCACACTCGAAGCAAACAAACAAAGCAACCATCCAGGTTTGCCCAGCTTTCGAAACCTGCCTCTGATCAGATCACTCCTCAGGGCTGAGAAGCCGCTGAGCTGGGGTTTGGTAGCCGGAGGGAGGGATATGCTTTTGTAAGTAAAGCGCCCCACAGCTCAGCCAAAGGCATCAAGGCCCTTAGGAAGCAAATACCTGTAGCACAACGTGCCCTACAGCCACAGGGGGTAACCAGCACCTACCTTAACCACCTGGCAGGGTTTTTGACTCTGCCAGCATTTTTGGCTCTGCCAGAGATCCTAGTCACAGATGTCATATGTTCCCCAACCTCAGTCTCCCTGCCTGCTTTGACACAGGCTTTCTAGCATACAGATGCTTTCAGGATGACTCAAAAGCAACTGTTACAATTGGCACAGCCTGATCACACCAGGAGCAGGAAATAGCCTCTCCAAGGAGCAGAAAATGCTCCACGCCCCTCAGGATGGATTGTCATAACACCACAAGGAGGGCAACAGCAGGGCATGCTCCTGGCTTGGAGCAAAGCTGGTCCAAGTTACCCAGCCAAGGAGACACCCTGACACAGCAAGGAGCCCCCTGCCTCCTCCCAGCACTCATGAAGGCAGAAAGGAGATTCCAAGCACTGCCAGGGAAGCATCCCTGCCCCCAGTACAGACAAAGGGCTCTACATGATTGCTCCTCCATAAGCAGGAGCTCCCAGCACGGCGAGTGGAAGATACTGCTATTTGAGTGCCCGCACCCTTCTGGCCTGCACGGTCACCTCTGTCTGCTGTGCAGGGAAAGGAATCAGGTTCTAGAGGACTTTCAGAAGGCAACTCGGTGTTTCCTAAATGATCACTGCTCAACAGCATCTTATCTTCTCCACTGGGGCTCAACAACGCCTCATGTGGCAAATACAACACAGGCTGCTAGGAGACACCAAGTGGCATCTGTGTGCTCACTTGCTTGCAGACCTTTCCTTTCCTCTGACTCCAGCCAGCATGCAGCACCATAGCAGGAAGCCCAACATTAAGAACTAAAGCCATTTGTTCATCTCTTCCCTTTCCTTAAGAAAACTCACTTGTCCACCCATTAGTCAATTTAAACACTAGTTCCCTGGGCTAGCCAACCCCAAAACACATGGAAAATTCACAGTCTCAACCTGGAGATTATGGTATCTACGCAGAAGCATGGCCATAGACCCCAAGAGTAAGTTCTCCTCCAAACACCCATCCCTTCTTCTCCTGACTTTTAAATCAAGAAGCCAGAGTCAAATCCATTGTGCAATGCACAATTTCAGGTAACAAAATTGACACACACAATAAAGCAAATACAGGATATCTGCAGAAGGTGAAAGTATCCCTCTCCAGTATGCTCAGACAACCTAATTCATGGACAGCAAATAAAATTTTCTTCCCCCATTACACTTTTTTTCCCCCCTTTTTTTTTTTGTGATACACACAGCTGCAGATACTGAATGCACACAAAGTATTATAAGCCTGTTTTTTTGGGGGTTTTGGGTTTTTTTAATTGCTTAGCAAAGCTAGTTCCTTCCCAGATGGACAGAACTCCCTCATTCACGTTTGTTTTCTGGGGCCTGCTGTTGCCCTGCCGGCAAACCTGACTTCCAGGAGAGTGGTGAGCAGAAGGCTGCCTGAAGACAGGTGGCTCCCACACAGAATAAGTCCATGTTGGGCAAGCTCCAATTACCTGCTTGCAGGCAAGGAGCCCTCTCTGTGAAATTGCAGCTTCCAGAGTTCACCTCAAAAGCAAAAAGACATTAGAGCTGAATTAAAAATGTGGCTTTTGGAGGCCCTTGTTATTAGCATTAAGATAAGTTGCCCAGTTCCACCTACACAAGGAGACTGCAACACCACATTTTCTATCCTATTTGACATGAGGGAGCTGCGCCAAGACAGAATGAAGCTGACCTGGGAAACACCAGGTCTCCCAGGCACATATCTTGTTTTCACTTGAATATTGGGACTCAAGGCCATACCTTGCAGCCCTGAAGGGCTTTTACAAGTGCACATGACATTCAAACCAAGACTTGCAAAGATCAGACAGCTCTTCAGAGTAAAAAGATATATAGCTTTTCAGCTGTGCAGTCACCTCCCATGCTCCTGAAAGCCCATCTTCAAACAGAAAGGGAAGAAAAAAAGAACAGGAACCACCTCCTAGTCAATGAACCCCTGCAGCAAACACCCCAATTGCAAATGGTTAATAAGACCACCACACACACACTCACGGGGGCTGTACCTGGACTGCTTTTTTGGAGGCGGCGGCGGCGGTGGTGCAAACTCCATACCATTACTCTTGTCTTTAGGGAAATCAAAGGAGAAAGAAGATGATTTGGTGATCCCAGCCTGGCTCTCCAGCATCAGGCCATCATCCACAAGGTCGGTACCAGCTTTTCCATTCTCAGCTCCTACTGCCCATGGGTGAGTTAAGAGCTCCTGCTCCTCTTCCTGCTCCTCCTCCTCCTCTATTCGGCACTGCTTGGTCCATGTTGGGGTGTAGTATTTCTGCCTCCTGTCACAGGATGAGCCTGCCAGGCCTCTACTGGACTCTTCCACAGAGACCCCATTCACATGAGTGCACGGAGAAGGGGATGCCCCAAAGGCACCTGTACCAGTGCAGCTCCTCGGCAGCAGCTGAACACCAGCCCCATCATGGCTGTTGTCATCACCAAACCTTGCCACATGGGAGCTCACTGGCAGCACACAGTTCCCCCCACTTCCTGGCTGGCTGTTTTTGGACATCTTTGGGGGAATGGCTGGACTGTCACTAAGTGAGGTCTTGGCAGGAGCTCCCAGATGAAATCTTGGACTGTTTTCACTTCCAGATGCTTGAAAAATCTGTCCAGGCTCAATGGCAGGTGATGACGTCCCAAAATCGGGGTGGGAAGTGGGGCTGATACACGGCCACTGAACTCCTACTGCTGAGTCGGGGCTGCTGAGGAATATTGTCTTGTGATCATCCTCAGTGTGCGCTGTCATTACAGTTATCTTTGCTGCCACCTGGCCAGTGGAGTCCTGATACTCCTTCTCACCCCCCAAAGCCCAGCCACCATCCCTCCGTGACCCATCAGCTTGCTCCTTCACAGTGCCGTGGGCCAGCTTCTCTGCTTTTGCCTGCCCACTGACAGCCTTCAGCTGTGCCTTCCTCCTCTTGGTGCTCTCGGCATAGATTGGATCACCGCAGGCTGGCTCGGTGAGGCGAGGGCGCTGCGGCTCCACCAGAGCCTGTTGAGGGGTGCCCGAACCCTCAGTCTGAGGACCTCCAGTGACAGAGGGCTCCACAGGGAGAGGCGAGCCCTCATCCTCCCGGGACAAAGTAAAGGCAGTTGCCCTGCTGCTCCCTGTGCTCTCAGGGAGGGCGGCAGGCTCAGCGTGGAGAGACAGCTTTTTCCTCTCTGAATACAGGGCATAGGGGAGAGGATCACCATGGTCTTTTGTGATACAGAAGGCCACATTCACAGCTCTGCGCTCCTCTTCGCTGAACTTGACTGCCCGACCACTTGGCCTAGGAATCTCGGGAGCATCCCGCTGCTTCCACCCGCAGGGAGCGTGACTCTCCTTCTCGAAGCGTGCAGCCTTCCCCTCTGTGCAACACGACTCCCATGAGACAGGGTGCTCCCTGTGGCAGTTTGTGATTGAACAGTACTCGCCCCCTTCGCTTTCAAAGCCAGAGGAGATGTGACCACAGTCACCCTCTGAAAGGAGCACGGCTCCTTCTCTGGCTTGGGAAGAAGGGTTTCTGCTGGAATTAGTGGTGCTTCTGTCCCCCAGTGCAGATGGATTAGGGCAGGGGGCCCGATGAGGCAGGGCAAACTTGTCTTTGGCTCTGTCCTCCTGCTTGCCCACCTCACCCACAAGTACCAGGCTGTGGATGGAAACATTTCTCTCCACTCGACTTTCCAGGCTGCGCAGACCCACCATGGAGTAGCTAGGAGGACAGCAAGACAAGCAGTCACTGGGCAGGTTGTGAAGGAAGGGCTTTCTCACACCACCGTTGCCAAAATTGTCAAGGCAGATCCGCTCTGCATCTCCTGATTTCAGAAGGAGCTGCTTGCCAGAAACCACACCCCAGCTGACCTGCACAGATCAAAGAGACAAGTGCATTGTCAGGATGTGCATATGCAAAATGAAAGAGAAAAAAAATAAAGAAACCAATGCAAAACTAAAACTGCAAAAACTGAAGTCCACCTCCACTGAACAGTCCTCTGGCATTCACCATCCATTTTGCTGTGCTCATCACACCAATAACTTCCACAAACATTTCCTACTAAAATTACACTTGTCATATTTCCTGGACCATTTGCAATCCTTGCATTTCTAACAATGGCAACGCAGTGGAATAAGGCATTCTTCTTTCTCTTTCCGTGGGTTTGCTGCCAGAAACGTGTCCAACCTGTCATCCTGTCTGTGAATCACCGTGCAATTAAAGATTCAGAGAGGGAAGGAGTATTTGCACCTCTCTCTGCTTATTTTCATTTCACTTCACACTGCTCCAGAGTGTGTGACTCTGGAACACAGACACAGATTATCACAGGTTATCCTTGGCTATGCTCAGCAGTAGGGAGTGAGGAGCAGGCAGGGTATCTGAAATCTCTTCATCAGAGGGAGATCTATCCTGATTGCCAAGGGAGAAGCAGGAGAGGCAGAGTAACACATGCCTATGAAGCGACCCCCATTCCAGGATGGCCAAACCTGCTCCCACAGCACAAAACTCAGCCTGAGGCCAAATCTGCATGTACAGATCAAACCCCATCGATGATGGCAGTTTGCACTCTTGTGCCCTTTACCCCTAAAACAGAAGAAAGGAATAGCAACAGGAGGTTAAGGAAAGAGCTGGTGAGCCCTGACTCTCCTCTGGGGCAAGAGGAGATAGGAGTACACCTATGCCACAGGCAGAGGGAGAGCAGACCATGCTTCACTCTGCATGGCTGGGGCAGTGCTGGTATCAGCTGGTCAGGGCGAGGAGTGCACCACCCATCTTGATTGCAACTCAAACCACAGGGCTTGCCAGTCTGCAAGCAGGGAGCAGTGCTACACCCAGAGGGCATTACTGCTCTGGCAAAGGTCGGGAGCCCAAGGAGTAGGAAGGTGGGGCACTTCCTTCCTCACCCACAAAGACCATGGATCCAGGTAGCACTGACTGCAACCAGGCGAGACATCTTTTCCGTAAATCTTCCCAGGAAAATAACTTTAACCCGCATCCTCATTTAAAATCCGGAAATTCCTAAAGAAACAATGTAATTTTAAGCACCTTTGCACATGACTTGCGAGCAAAAGCTCATTCAGCTTCATCCAAAGATACTTTGAGAAGGCAATATACGGCTTAAAAACCTGAGTCAAGACCAGAAGGAAAAACAAAGAGAAGGAAACGGTTTTAACAGCTATTCCTAGCACTCCTGAGAAAAGGTAAGTAACGGGAAGTCATGCTTTGACTGGATTAATCATTACCTGTGACAGATCTGCATTCATGTTCACATCCGCCCACGCGTCAGAAACATCCGAGTTTATCATCGTTGGCTTCACAGCAATTGTTGGCTTTGAGAAAGGGGAAGTATTTACACCTTCGTCGTCAAACGCGAGGCTCTCAGGCTTGGTCCTAACTCCATTCGGGAGCACGCCACAAGCTCCCGTGTCTGGGGTTGTTTGCAGCCGATGGGAACTCTTTGGGTTGAAGCAGTTTTTGCAGGAGCCTGGCTTCCAAACGTGTTCCACAAAGTCACTGCACGCAGACATCTTCAAATCCTCGTGGGTCAGACTGAGAGCCCACTGCGTCTTCTGCACTGTCCTCTGCTGCTCATCTTGCATTTGCTCCCGAGCCACTCAAAGTTCACCTGGTTATCTGGAAAAGCACAACACTGTTTGATCAGTTTGATTATAGTCCCAAGTGGGAAGATTTTTAATAGGACAGGTGATAATTAATCTTACTCTGCCTTCATCACAAAGGTGTATTGTTTACAAGACTTTTTTCACAGCTTAGCTAAAGCCCACACAATCACTTGAAAAGCCTCAACTTCTAAGCATAGCTCTGTAATGGAGAAGACATCAAGCAAGCAGCATTCCTATGTGATTTAATTCCCTGTTTAATGAGTGTGTATAACCAGCATCATGCAAGGTTTAGATCAAGGGTAAAGAAAAGGAGTCTTGGAAATAGCTGTTCACAGCCACACAAGCAGAGCAAGGCAGGAAAAATTCCTTCTCCAAAGTGGCATCCTCTCTGGAAAATAAAAAGGCCTAGAGGACCAGCATCAGCAACTGTGTAACCAAGGGGACCCAGCAACAACCTTCCTTCCCCCAAAAGCGCCACTGTGATTACTGCCATGGTACACAAAGGCTTCTCTCCCACCCAGTGCAACAGAGAAAGGCAATCAGCAGGGCTGGGGCTGGCACTGATTTGAGTAAGTGTCTGGCAGAAAGCTCTTATCTGGTTTGCCAAGAGCCACAAATAACAGTGTCAGCTTGCTGAAATGATTCATTGTCTTCAAGGGGAGAAACGTTTTGCTCTTGGATTACTTACAGACAAGGATTCCTTCCCATCTTCCTTCCCCAGGAGGAAATGCCCCAGGAACAAGACATTCCTTCCTGCATTCCTCTGCCCCCCCCCCCTCTCCCCTTCTGGCCAGGTCTGATTGCACTCAGCCAATAGCTACCTGGAACTAACAACTTTGGAGATACTTCAGAGGAGGACTCCCACAAAGCTCAATGGATTAGGGAAGAGAAGATCAGAGAATGCAACTTGATGAGAAAAATTACAGCCAGCTGCTATGGATGTCAGGGCACACAACATGCCCTCACGTGGCTCCACAGAGTCCTTACTCACCTAACCAACTTTAGGTCATCATCTCCTGGCCAGCTGACCCCCAGGCAAACCGAGGCTCCTTCCTCAAGGATCTACAAGTGAACAAGCACTTCTGTACCCCAATCCCAAAGGCACATGAGCAAAATTTACCAGCCTGATCCTTCAGCACTTCCTCCACACAGGCATACTGGAACCCCAGCAGAGCTATGGACACCTTTGTAGTTGCATGCACCCCTAAACCAGCTTGCACTTCAGTAAAAACTCTTGCCTCTGGGCTCAGAGATGCCCTGGCCAGCCTCTTCAACAGCCACTGCACTGTATGGCATAAAGAAAGACAACTAATAAGAGCCTAGGTGGGACAAAGAGAAGGGGGGGAGAGCCACTGACCCACATGCATCACCTGAATTCAAATGCCACCTTTAAGAAGGGTGTCTTTGATCAGGTAAAGCATTAGTCTCTGCAGACTCCTTCTGTCTGGCAGGCCAATAAATTAGGATCTGTTTCTTGAAAAAGCTGAAAAAAGAGGAATATCAGTAGGATTCACAAGTCAGATTGCAGTATGTCTCCCTCTTTTTAGGGAAGAGACTGTTTTAGACAGCTTTTTCCATGGACTTCACAGAGTCTGAATTAATCAAAGGACAGCAAATCACTCTCAAACATATTCCAACACTTTCAACGAGATGAACAATATTTGCAGGGAAATCATCTTTAAAAAAAAATTCTATTCTTTGCATCCTTTTAGATCGAGCACTGAGTGTCCAGCATCACCCAAAGTTGAACAAGTGTCCTGATGAGACAGAAAAAAAGAAAAATCAAAGGGAGGGAAGCAACACCGGAGCCACGAAAAACTCTTCACTTCTGATTTAATATTCGGCGCTGCCAACTTAAAACCCGGGGTTTCCCTCTCTGCAGCCCGACCAGCCGTCATTTCTCGCTGCCCATACCCCGGGCAGGCGGCCCGGTGTCCTCCTGCCGGCTCCGCACCCGCGACCCACCCGCACCAAGCCACGCGGCGCCGCGTGGGGAAAGCCCTCGGGATCTGCCGGGAGAAGGGGATCGAAAGCCAGGACTTGGGGCTGCCTCCGGGCAAGCCGAAAGCCGGGACCTGGGTCTGAGGCATCCCCGGAGCCCCCGCGCCTCTCGGGACACCGGCAAGCACCCGATATAGCGGCTACCTGTTCTCTAGGACAGAGGGATGCCAGGCTGCGGCACGACGATGCTTCGGCGCAAAAAAAGACCCGAACCCCCAGCCCAAGCAGCTCTGCCTGCCAGACGGTTCCTCCGGGGCGCCTGACGTCCACCGGGACCGAGGAAAGTTTATCGGGCAGGGCCCCTCCAGGGGCTCCCGGCGGTGCCGGTCGAGACCGGAGCGCGCCCCGGGCCGGCTGCAGCCCCCTGCCCCCCGCTCCCCGCCCGCATGCTCGGTGGGCACCGGCACAGCCCCGCCGCCCCGGCCCCGAGCGGCGGCGCCGGGACCCCTCCCAGCCCGTCTTTGTCCCGGGAGGCGGAGGCCCGGTGCCTGCCCCGGCAGCAGCTCCTCGCTCACCAGCCTCCCGCGGCTGCGCTCGGCTCCGCGCTGCTCCCGCTCGGCCGCCGCCGCCGGGCGAGTGGCGACCGGGTCCCCGCGTGGGCCGGGGCCGCCCCGCCCCGCTCCGCCCCCCGGCCCGCCCTCGGGGCACGGCGTGGGCAGTGGCCCGGGCGGGAGCGGCGCGGCGGCTCCGAGGCCCCCGCGCGTCCTCGCCTCGCACAAAGAGCGCCCGCGCCCCGCAGGGGCACCCGCGACTCCCAGCGACATCCCCGCCACCATCACCACGCCTCCCAGCAGCGCTCACGCAGACCTGCACCGTCTCAGGGTTAGCGAGTGGGTATCAGCCCCCGGGGGGATGCAGCCACCCACATACCCAGCATCCCCGCACAGACCCCATAGGGTCCTACCCAAGCACCCACGCCGACACTAGCCTTTAGGATGGTGCTGGTCCCAGCTAGAAGGTACCGGGAGCCAGAGCGTTCACTCATCCTCGGCAAGCTTGCCAGACAAGGACATGATGAAGCTCATCCCAAGGGGATGCTGTGGAAGGAAGAAGAGTTTGCTGCAACTGAAATCAGAATTTGACCCCACTGTGCAAAAACTGCAGGCAGCATCTCAGGAAAATCCCAAACCTCTGCTGGCGTGGGAGACTGGGCATCATTAAAAGGGAACAGGATGAGGTTTTGTGCACTGTAGTGTCTTAGCAATGCTTTAGGGCAGGCTGGAAAAGGACTGTCTTCTCTTATCCTGGCAGTTCTCTGTGGTGTGTAGTTTTGAGCATCTAAAATCTTAGAAACTAGGAAAAAACAAAACAAAACAGTTCTCCCCCTGCTTGGGTCAGGGCCTTAGCTCAGTTCCTTGCTTAAGTCATCACTCCTTTAGTACAACAAAGCATTCCTAGTCTTAAACATTTCAGGAGAAAATAGTGGATTAAAAAGGCAAATAGGCTTGCATAATGGAGAGTCCAAGGCCCAAATAGAAAACCAGAAACTGGATATATGCACAGTACTTATCAAAGAAAAAAATCCTTCTCAATCATCCCAGTAAATTCTTCTCCTTCAGGGAATTTTGGCAGTAGCACAGCTTGCAAACCTTTTTGCTTGCAAACATCCTGGCTGGCTGGTCTTCTGCAGTTACGGCTGTCTGCTCATGCTCTCTCTTTTGATCAGTTATTAAAATGATCCAGAGACCCCAGATTTAGCAAAACCACAGGAAAATATGGGAACTCCTCCACTTATTTTGCCATATTGCCACAAAGACATCTGCTTAACAACCTCCCCTTTCTTCTTTCAAACAAACCCCTCACAATCAATTTGCTGTGTCTTTTTCCATGCAGGATCCTAGTGTCAGTGCACTCAGTTCATACAAGTAAATTATCTCTCAGAAATGCCTTCATCATGACAGAAATCTCTCTTCTAGCACAGATCATCTCATCTGCAGGAGAGAAAAATGAGCTGGGAAAATGAGTGCCCCAAATTTCTGACATTTTCCCTATTTTAGAAGGCTTGGATGAAAGAATCCAGCTCTAACCAGCCCAGATGAAGTTGTGGTTGTATGGCTGGCTAATCCTGGAGGATGGTAAACTTCCTCGAATTCAAGTATCTGAATTTCATACCTGAAACTTTAAAAAGAGCCTCTACTCTTCTCAATAAGAGTGCTATAATTTTCTCAGTATGCCTTCTTAGTGAAGAGTCAGAGGCAGCTTAGGGAAGGAAATCTAGATTTAAAATTCATCCTGTGTTTACACTGGAACAATACTGGACTGAGTGAATTGTCCTGAGACAGTCACCCCAGGTAGGAAAACCTTTCCCATGGCAGAGGTCTTCGGATTTTGGGATAATGAAAGCTTTTTCTTTTTTTCCTAATAAAGTCACCATGTTAATGTCCAGAGAAAAATTGAACAACCTCAAGTTTTTATAAAAAAATTATTCTGTAAGGTCTGAGACTAAGCTTGATGGCTTTTTGCATGGCTATAAAGTCTCGTGGTTTCTCTGGTAGAGTGTGCATCATTGTCTACTTTAGGTATTTTCTCAATGTCCAAACAAACTTGCAGAAAAGAAGCCCTCTTGAGTGGAAAGCCATACACAGTGCCTGCTAAGACATGACCACATGTCCTGTACAGGGTTGAACTCAATGATCCTTGCGGGTCCCTTCCAATTCAACATATTCTGTGATTCTGTGATCTGGCCAGCCATATGTCTTCCAACGTATTGTTTTCCAGAACACTGTCACAGCAACAGAGCTCATGGCTCAGAGCAACCCCGATGGGACAAAGGGAAACTTTAGGCTGACCAGAGCTTCAAGCGCCATCCCTCACTGACAGAAGAGACTATCACTGAGTCTTGTTTTCAAAGTGTCATCTGTAAGAGTGACCCCTTGAGAACAGGAAGACAAACAAGCATAAGCCTACAGTGAGTTTCTCTGTAGGCAGATAAAAGAAGCAAAGCTCTCTGGAGATGGGATCTGCATCACTCATGGCCAGCAAAGATGCCCAGTTCCCAAGACTGCTGTTGCTAACAGTGCTTTTTACTCCAGGACTTAAAAAAACAGCAACAGGAAAAAATGTGATACCTTTAATCAGTTATGGTCCACACTGTGGGATTGAGCAAATCTTAGTTTACACCTGTGGTGCACAGATCTCATCCTGGCCATGGTCCCTGATGTGCTGGGGTATCTGCCTGTCGCTGCCAGGACTCTAACTTTGTCCATGCTGGAGATCTTCTGCGTGGAAGTGGAGTGGCACTGTCTATGCTGCCACCAGTTTGCCTGCTCATATGCAACAAGAAAAATGCACCTATGATGGAGCCAAGGGCAACCAGTGCCAGCATCTACTGCCCGCAGGGTGAAAGAGCAAAGGGGCATCCTCCAGTAGGTTCCTGGGGATGTCAGTACCTGATGCCAGTCAACAAGTTCTTTGGGTCAATGTGCACAGCCCTGGAAACTGCCTCTCCGTGCATCACAGACCCTTTTCCTACTCCAGAGGTTGGTGGCTTTGTTTATGTGTCCTTTTTCTGCCCCAGTCCGGGAAGGTTAGATTAAAAGCATCAGCTGTAAATAATGAAGCCCTAAAGTGGTCTGTTAACCACCCTCCATGGAAGTTACCATCACTGCTAACATCTGGAAGCCAAAAGTATGATCACCATAGCACCTGCCTGCCTTGTAGGACTGGAGCGAAGGCCTAAATCACTAATGCCAACCCCATGTGCAGGCAGCAGTCCCCCATCCCACTCTGGCTGCTGTGACAATCCACAAATCAGCATGCCAACTAGAGACAGGCGCCGCTATTTCTTTGCTGGGGCACTGTGTCAAAGGGGGAGCTCCATACCCAAAAGCAACAGTGGCTGTTAAGAAATCGTGGGATAATAGCCCTTTTGATGGATGCTCAGCTTGTGCATTTGGGATGTAGTGGTTGTGGTGGAGCTGGGAAGGGGGAGGGGGCAAAAAGGCATATGACAGTGCTGATAACAAGTGGGCTTTGTATGCCATGGCCAGGGGCTCCCACAGCTGCTCCAGTCCCTTCTCTCTCTAGAGGTAGTTTGGTTGGTAGAAGAGGCTATAAAAGCTCAGGCAAGTGAGTATAACATAGGTAAGATTTTAAGGATTCAGTTTCTGCCTCTCTTTAAAAGGCAAAACAGTGGCAGAGCATCTCCTGCTGCCATTCAAGCAGGGTGTCTGGAGGAGAGGCTTTTCTGGGCTGGTGGTCTGGCTGCTCTGGTTCCTTTTGGATTGGGAATGCCCTCCAGTGGGTCTGTCCAGTTTGCTTTCTTTCCCTGTGTAGCTGGTGAATACTTGCAGCCTATGCTGGCCAAGGCCCTCATCTGCTTCTTACCATCACTCCAAGGGCCTTGGTGGTGCTGATATATGGTCTGGTGATAACCTGGAGCACCCCCCTGGGAAAGGGCAAGACAGGCCATTGGCTCCAAACTATCCTGTCCCGGTGATGCAAGAAAAGGAACAAACATAGGAGTGGGCACCATGGCAGAAAGAGCACACAGTATCTAGCAGATATTAACTCTTTGTATCCCTAGTTTTACATCACCTGTCATCACCTGATGACAGTGTCTTTTTTTTTTATGATGCATATTCTCTGTGGAATAGGAGATAGTGATTATGGCAGTTGGCTACAGATTGCCAAAAAAAATACAACTCCCTCCACCCCCCAAAAAAAAACAAATCAGAAAAACCCCACTCCAAAACTAACACACACTTTGTTTCTGTAATCTCCAACAGGAGACAAGCACAACTTCCCAGCTAGCCTGTGTAGTTGCTCTTACTAAGCTTTGAACAGCTGGGGTATTTGAGGATGGGATTAGTTAATACAATTCAGGCTCAATTAGCAAAGGAAACATGGATATTCCAGCTCCATGGA